GAACATCACATTTTTTCTAAAATAGACTATATACAAGTCATAGAAGGCATATAGAATTCCAGTTTGCCATAACCAAAATAAAACTTTTTTTCTAAAATACACTATATACAATAGACTGTATATAGTCTAAAATAGACTATATACAGAGAACAAGCTTAAGTAAATGTAGAAGAATTGAAATTATTCTATGCATATTATATAACCATAGTGCATTAAAATTGGAAATTAATGACAAAAGAAATCATAAGCACAACATAAAATCCTGAAATTTACATAAGTCTCCTAAAAAACAATTTGTTAAATTTGAAATTTTAAACAAAATAAACACTATCTATAATAAAATGAAAATGTAAATACACCTTGCCAGAACCTCTGGGACAGAATGCAAGTTGTCTTCAGTGGAAAATGTATCACAGGGTATTCTCACATCAAGAAAACAGAAACACACACACACACACACACACACACACACACACACACACAAATCAGCGATCTAATGTGGCACCTCAAGAATCTAGAAAAAGAAGAGCAAGTAAAACCAAAAACCCAAAGAAAGGAAGAAATTGTAAAGATCAGAGCAAAAATTAATACAATTAAAACAATATAAAGAATTACTGAATAAAAAAGATCACTCTTTGAAAGAAAAAAAAAGAATGAAAAACAAGTCAGTTTTATCAAAACATTTAAAGAAAACACTCAAATTCATGTAATAAGATATGAAAAGGATGAAATCAATACAGATCCTATGGAAATGTAGAAGATTATCAATCTCTATTTTGAAAAATTATACTCTCAGAGGATGGAAAAAAACAAAAAAAGACAAATTCCTGAAAACATATAAATTACAAAATTTTATTAAGAAAATGTAAAAAAAACCAAAAAAACAAACAAACAAACAAAAAAAAAACCAGAAGACATAAAAATTCTGAATAACCCGATATCAGCTGATGAAATTGACAATGTGAGTAAAAAATTGCCAACCAAGGAAAGCCCTGGTCCTGATGGATTTTCATCTGAATTTTACAAGAAACTTGGAGTAGATTTAGTGCCAATGCTCCTCAAAATCTTTAATGAAATTGAAAGGAAAGCAATTTTCCCTAACTCATTCTTGGAGAGGTGTTACCTTAATACTAAAAATCAACAAAAAGACCCAACCAAAAAAGAGAACTATAGATCAATCTCCCTAAAAAGCATAGATAAATAAAATTCTCATTGAAATACTAGAAAATAAAATACAGCAAACCATTAGGAAGATTGTATACCATGACCAACTCAAATTCATCTGAGGAGCACAGGGATCATTCATCACATGCAAATAAATACATGTGATACACACAATCAACAGAACCAAAGACAAAAATTGCACAGTCATCTCAATAGATGGAGAAAAAGCATGTGGTACAGTTAAATATCCATTCATAATAAAATCCCTGTGGATAATTGTAATACATGGTATTGATTTCAATCTGATAAAATCCTTCTATGACAAACTAACAGCCAGTATTATACCAAGCAGACAAAAACTGAAAACATTCACTCTAAAATCAGGAGCGTGACAAGTGTGTCCACTATCACCAATACTACTCAATATAGCCCTGAAACCACTAGCCAGATCAGTTAGATAAGAGAGAAACAAAAGGTATAAGGATAAGAAAGGAAGATACTAAATTATCATTATTTGCAGATGACATGATATTCTAAATAGAAGACCTGAAATTCTCCTCCTGCAAACTTCTAGACTTAAGCAAATTTAACAGCATACCTTTATATAAAGTCAACACTCAAAAGTCAATGGCATACCTGTATAAAAACAAAAACAGTGAGAGAAAAATTAGGGAAAACACACCCTTCATAATAACATCCAAAAAAAGAAACACTTAAGAATCAATCTAACAAAGGAAGTCAAGATTTTTACATTGAAAATTATAGTACTCTGAAAAAAGAAATTAAAGAGAAATTCAGAAAATGAAAAGGTATTCTGTGCTCATAGATAGGAAGAACGAACTTTGGAAAATGGTCATACTTCCAAAACTTTCATACAGTTCTAATGAAATCCCAATGAAAATATCATTTGTGTACCCCAGAGATCTGGAGAAAACATTCCCAAAGTACATCTGGGAACAGAAAAGACTTAGAATGCCAAACAAAATCCTGTGCAACAAAGGCAAAGCAGGAAGCATCATGATTATTGATTTGAAATTATACTACAAGGCTGCTATAATAATATCAACATGGTACAGCCAAAAACCATGGACTGGAAGATTGACGGAATAAAATAGAAGATTGTGACATGACTACAAATACACTCAGCCACCTTATATTTGACAAAGGGGCCAACCATGTTTAGTTGAAGAAAGACAGTCTATGTAGTGCTAGAAAACCTGGCTTCCCACATGCTGAAGACTTAAATCAAGTCCATGCTTGTCATTATGCACTAAACTAACATCTAACTTGATCAAAGGTATAGATATTAAGTCGAAACACTTAATCTAAAGGAAAAAAATTACGTAGAAATCTCTAAAACGTAGTGGTTGGCAGATAGTTCATTGAAAAACTCAAACTGCACGGGAAATACTTCACATAATGAACAACTGTGATCTTGTCTTATTAAATTTTTGCAAGTCAAAAGAAATCACCAGCAGAGTGAAAAGAAAACCCACAGACTGAGAAAATATTTTGTCAATTATGTCTCAGATACAGTATAATGAATTAAAAAAAATCAAGCACCCCAAATTCAAAGACCTAATTCAAAAGTGGGTTATGTTCTCAGATGAAGAAATACAAATGGCAAATTAACATATGAAAAAGTGTTCAACATCATTAGTCGCTTGAGAAATGCGAATTAAAAAACACTGGAATTTCATCTCACTCCAGAAAGAATGACTGACATCAAGAAATCAACCAATAAGAAATGCTGGAGAGGGGGTGGGGAAAAAAGGAACTCTTCTTAGCTCTTGCTGGGACTGTAAACTGGTAGATCCACTGTGGATATAAGTATGAAATTTCTTCAATAAACTAGGACCACTGGTTTCATTAGAATCAACTATTCCACTTCTGGATATTTTCTTAGAAAATTTGAAAACCTCATATCACAGTGATATAACGATGTTTATAGCTGCATAATGTGTAATAACCAGACTTTTGAAGCAACCTAAATTCTCATCAACTGTGGAACAGCTAAAAAGTATGTGATATTTTTGGAGTACTACTCAGCTATGAAGAAGGATATACTCGAAGCTTTCATAGGTAAATGAATGCAACTAAAGACCATACAAATCAGTGAAAAAAAAATCAGACTCACATATGTAAACAAAGAATTGTCTCCATAGTGTAAGAAACTATAAGAGTAAGTAAGATGTAAAAGTTATTGTAGAAAAAAAAAAGGAAAAGGGACCACACACACACACACACAAACACACACACACAAGATGGCAAAGGCAGTCAGGCCACTAATTCTATTAGTTCATTGGAAAGAACAGTTAATGTTCATATTGTTTGATGAACTTTGCATACCTGTATCTGGTATCTGAGCAACAATTTTGAGTATAACATACATTGTTAAATTTCTGTCATCTTGTTTTGAAATCTTATATCGCTATTGCTTTTTTATTGTTGGCATTTTTTATTGTTTTTCCTTTGTTACATTATTGATTTTCTGTACCTTTGCTCTTTAAAATAAAAATATGTATGTAAATGTATCAATATGTGATATAAAATGCATGCATATATATATATGTATGTACAATTCTAACTTGAAGTGGATCATGACTATATTTACTCTACTACCTATGATGAATTATATATATATATATATATATATATATGAATAAATAGATATACTATATACAATGTAATATTTATACATGGATATATGGTTAGGATATGATTTTAAAAAAAAAAGATTTCTTGTCAAAGTATCATATTCGATCAATTGTAAGAGCAAAGTATATAAAAGTAAAAGTGGTATCTGTAAAAAAGAAGGAAAAATATTTGCTAAAATATGACCATTAGTCTAAACTTTGTCAGGACTCTTTGAAAGACTGCTATTTCTCCAAAATAACTATAGTACACATATTACACTAGAAAATAAATCTTTCAGAGAAGAATTAATTCAAACATTGAGCACGATGATCAATGGAAGAAAAAGATTGGTTTGTGTTTTCTCTGACAAACACACCTGACTCCAAATACACAATATTGTATTTCAGCTTTCCTATACAATATCAGACATGAGATAAAGAGCTAGTGTCCAAATATCTGAAAAGAGGCAATATTAAGGAATTTGCAGCAATGTGGCATTTTCCCGAAATCCTTTGATTAAAGTGAAAAATGCCAAGAGGGAGATCCTGAAAACAAATGATTGAGAAAAACCAATGCAGTACTATGATAGTTAAGGCAGGGTCTTACCTTCACTGGCGGAAAGGTTCCCTAACACCAGGTCAGCAAGGAACTCTAACTCTGCGAGGAGGGTCTCTTCAGCGTGAGTCCGCCCCATAAGGAGGCGTGGCGTGGGGAGGGAGCAGCAGCTCTGAGCCAGGGCCCCTGACCAATCAGCGGTGAGACTGAGGCAGCTCTCCCCTCCCGAAAGAGGGGGCACCAGAGGGGCTGTCCTTGCAGTCAGCCTCCACAGATTCTTAAACAGGGGAGGCGCTAGCGATCTTTCCCTTTTGCCGAACTTGGCAAGTGAGGGGCCTCGCCCACTGCTGCCATCCCAGCGAAAGTCAGCGAAAGGACCCAGGCTGTGGTTGAGGAGGTGAGAACCTGTCCTGAGAGGGAGAAACACCGGCTTGGGAAGGGGGTGTGGGCCCCGCCTCACAAAGCCACCGCGTGTTCTCGGGGCTGTTGCGGGGGGCGCCCAAGAGCACAGGTTGCCTGAGACAGGCTGAGGTCTGGGGACCCTCATGGTGAAGAGTAGTGGGTATTCTAGTGCAGGGGAGGAAAGGAGGCCCTGCTAACTCCGGAGTCTGTGTATCCTGGGCTTAGGGGCCAAGAAGACTATTATGGCGTCAGAGAAGTGCGCAGTTAAAATGGAGGGCGCCACGTGTGAGCTGAGGTCTCGCGTGATTCGAGAGCAGAAATCCTCGCAGCGAGGGCCAGGGCCGGGGTCAACATAGCAGGGACGATCGTCCATCCAGGCAGTGTTCAGGGGATCGCGGCTCCAACAAGACTGATGCCATAGCTTTTCCAGAGGTCAGTTCTAGGAGACTCTCGTGGGACCATCAGACTGTTTTCCACAAGGAGGGTAACAGGGCCGTGGGGGTCTCAGGCTAAGGGAAGGAGCGTCAAGTCAGCATGAGGGAGTTTTCCAGCTATTCATGGGTCACCCTGAGCACCCCATATAAGGATGAGGAAACCCAGAACAGTTGGCAACCTAGGATGAGGAATAGGCTTGTGACTCTCACTAATTTCCTCCATGATATGGGATAGGGGGTGTTGCTAATAGTGGGGATGGATGTTGTCTAAATGTCAAGGCCTGAGGTCCATAGTAGAAGCTTTTCTGTGTATTCCTAGAAATAAAAAAAAGTACCCTGAGATCTGTAGAAAAAGACAAGCAGGTACTATAAAATCATTGATGTATTTTTATACATTTAAAAGTGAATGTGAGATTTATTTCACTTAAAAATATGCTCTGAAGCTGTACCCATTTACCTAAAAATGTGTCAAATCACTCTTTTTTATGGGAGTATAGTACTCCATTATTTATAAATGCACTTTGGAATTTTTTAAAAGAAAAAAAAAAAGGAAAACAAAATTTGCAGCCAAGATGATAGGATAGTTAACAATAATTATGGATGGTTTATTGTTATTATCAAAGTAATTAATCAAGTTACAAGATATAGACATGATATCTTCTCCAAACATTGTTAGCTCAAACCTTTCTTTTCAATGAACCTCATAGCGGTAGTTCCAGTGTAATTATCTTAAGCATTTTGTACATGCATATATATATATATATATATATATATATATATATATATATATAATATGTATAGAATAGCATATGTTTATATATTGTATATTATAATATATGTATATAATGGGACAGAAAAAGAGATCCCTTTTGTCATTAATAATTTCATCTTTCACTCATTATGATAGGTTCTCTTTCATAATAGTTGAATCTTGGAAACAACACAAATGCTCGTCAAATCATTGATACGTAAAAAAGTTGTGGTTGTTTAATATAATGGAGCACTATTCAGCCGGAAAATTGATGAATGTGATAGTTTTATAGCTAAATGGATGCAACTAGAGATTATACTCATAAGTGAAATAAACCAGACCATATATACAAACAGTGTACAGTGTCTCCTAATTTGAAAAGCTGAATGAATAAATAAAACGTATTATTCAATGGATAGTTTTTTTTGGGAAGAAAATATTCAAAACAAAATCATCTAGTTTTACACACAGTAGGAACATATAGGAAAATGAGGTGGCTGTCATATAGTTGCAGAGAGTCTCAGCAAAGACTGAAGCACCACAACACGAGGAAAAGGAGGAATTAACAGTTCAAATAAGTGGATAAAGGATAGCTTTTTATTGAGTGAGCATCAGGGAATGGAAGCCTGATCCATACACTGAGCATTCCATGCCCAAGAAAAGGATGTCAGGCTGCGTCTCTTTGTCCATGCATCATAGGAAATCTAAGAATCATGAGCATATTTGGTGTGAGGATTTGAGTATCATGTAGCAGAGAGAGTAACAGGCAGTCCCTGGAGGTCAGGAGATTTCTTTGGATGAGAAGTGTGTACCTTAGAAGCCCATGAAAGAAAGGGCCAGACCCGCATAACACTCAGTGGGGCACAGCCCATCACAGGATGATTACCATAGAATCTCTTTCACACTTGCACTCTGGATGTGGGGAACAGAATATTAATTTTTTGAGGTTGAGAAGTCAGATTCTGAGAAGCAAAAGTGAGTTGTACTGTACATCTGTGAATTTAGTGATAGATGCATTAGCAAATGAAGAGGACCCAGCACTGCAAACACAGGACTTCAACATATGATCCTTTTATCACTCCAGGACAACAGTTAAAGGAACATCATGGTGTGGCCTATGGCCCACTCTGTCTCCCAGTAAAAGAACACACTTCGTAAAACAGGTCTACTGTTCCTAGTGCACCATTCTCACAGCAACCTGTAGAAGCAGCCTGGGTTAAAGCCTAAGAGAGATCTCTGCTGAAATTGATCACACAATCTCATTTCCCTCCTCCAGGTGCCTGCAGCAAATTCATCCTCCCCACGCTCCTCCCTCTTGTACATAACCAGATTCATCATGCCTCGTGGTCACAAGAGCAAACGCCGCGATAAACGTTCACAGGGGAGAGGTGACAGACAGGGTAGTGAGGTGGCACAGGAAGCAGTAGCACCCACAGCAGAAGCAGCAGCAGCAGAAGTAGAAGCCGCAGCTGCAGCAGCAGCAGAAACAGCAACACGAGTTCCAGCAACAAAAGCAGAAGCACCAGGAGCAGAAGCAGCTGTATGTGCAGCAGCTGTGGGAGGAGAAGAACAAGAAGAGGAAAAGGAGTCTTCTTTTTCCAAGAGCCCATGGAGTGCTGCTTCCTTTAGCCCTCCCCTGACAACTGGTAGGAGATCACCATCTGCTGGTGGTCACTCTGCAGATGGCTCTGTTGTCAGTTCTCGCCATGGTTCCAGTTGTAAGTATGACGAGTGCCTTTGTGAGGCCACTCGCTGCCCTGACTGTTTGTCTGATGAACCTCGGTGCCCAATAGAGGCATTGGGGTGGTTCATATTCAAGAGATTTCATTTGAAGCAGTCCTTTAACTTTAAAGGATTGTGCTGCCTATTCCTATAAGTCTATTCAGTCAACTATGATAAAACACTGTCGCCAGAGAAACTTAAAAACAGATTTATTCCTCATGTTTTGTGTTTAGAAAAGAGTATTACTATAGTGAATTTTCTTAAAAATGTTGAAGAACCCCACTCTCTGCAGAGTAACACAGTGGAGGAAAAATCTGAAACGTAATACATTCTTGAATTGTCTTAGTGTTTTTATTCTCTGATTAAAAAAATATTCCAGTGTTTTATATGTAGTTTTTACTTGTTCTGTGAAGAAAGAATAAAGTTTTTCTTAATTATGTTTTATGTTTCTTGAGGCTTTTACAAGTTAGAGATGCTGTCGTCGGTCCACAGAAAGTACAGAGATGAATTTCCTCGGATTTTCAAGAGTGTCCAAAAACAGCTGGAGGCGGTCTTCGCAGTTGAAGTGAGAGAAGTGGAGTCCACCCGTCACTCCTACAGCCTTTTCAGCATGCTGAGCCTCCCCAACAATGGGAGGATTCGCCCTGGCAGGCGCTGCCCCAAGACCAGGCTGCTGATGCAAACCCTTGCTCTGATCCTCATGAAAGACCACCGTGCTTCTGAGGTAGACATCTGGAAATTCCTGAAAAAGATGCACGTGTATCCCGGCAAGAAGCACATATTTTTTGGAAATGCCAATAGGCTCCTCACTCAGGATTTTGTGAAACTGAAATACCTGGAGTACCGGCAGGTGCCCGGCTGTCTTCTTCCACGCCGCGAGTTCCTGTGGGGCCCCCAAGCCCATGCTGAGATCAGCAAGGAGAAAATCATGCAGTTTTTAATCAGGATCAATAGGCTCTGTCCTTCCTACTTCTCATATCTTAATGAAGATCTTGAAAGAGAGGACATAGAACAATTCCAAGCCTCGCTTTCTGCCAAGCGCGTCTCTACTGGCAAACCAAGGGTATTTGCCCCAGCCTTGCATCCTGTTGCTCCTGCCAAGTCCATAAATGTTTGAGGCTTCAGATCACCCAGTTTACGAAAATAGGCTTTATTATAGGGAATTTTCGTACAGGAGTTAAAGAATCCCACAGTAGTGGGTGATGCAATGGAGAAAACTTTTATGGCATATTCATTTTTTTACTTTTCTTGATGCTTCAGAAAATTCAATGTCTTAAACTTTTTCTTAGTGCATTCCTAGAAGTCCTGTTTAAATCTTTATCAACTAAGCTTCATGTTTATTGAGTGTAATTTAGTAAATATTAGTTGGTTGTGTGGTTGTTGGAAAGGTTTGTAGAGATGTTCTATTTCTAACACGATGAAACCCCAGTCTCTGCTATTAGACTTTTCAAGCACTGGTTCTGCCATCTTATAAACAATTGGTTGAACTTCTTTTTTGACATTTATGTAACATAAAAATTGAATATGATGAGGGTATCATTGAGCACAATAAGCTTAAAATTACCTATGGTAGATTATTGGACTTTGAAACCACTGATTTCCTTTGGGAAATGATTTTCATTTAAATTGTGTGAAGGACCAGCTGTGGAGGCGCTGAGTTAATGCCATGCCCTCCCATGCTGGGACTCAGGATTGTGCTGCCTATTCCTATAAGTCTATTCAGTCAACTATGATAAAACAGTATCGCCAGGGAAAATTAAAAAACAGATTTATACCTCATATTTTGTGTTTAGAAAAGCGTATTATCATAGGGAATTTTCTTAAAAATGTTAAAGAACCCCACTCTCTGCAGAGTAACACAGGAAAGGAAAAAATTGAAACGTGATATATTCTTGAATTGTCTTAGTGTTTTTATTCTCTGACTTTTAAAATTATTTCAATGTTTTATATGTAGTTTTTACTTGTTCTGTGAAGAAAGAATAAAGTTTTTCTTAATTATGTTTTATTGAGGCTTTTACAGCACACAATAATCATGCACATGCTGTTTGGCGGATATATGGTAGTACCTGGATGGTCAAGTAAAGAAGTCTTAGTTTCTCCTTTTAGAATTCTGGAGACAAATGCTGCAGTGTGACTAGTAGGTCATTAAACTACCCTCTTGATCTTTTAAGTAAGCTACTGATCAAAATATGCAGACCCACTCTCATACCATCTAAATCTAATTATGTCTCCAAAGCCATCTTCCAATACTTACACATTGAGGATTCGTGTTTTAATGTGTGATTTTGGAATGGCTGGCAGAGAAGTACAAATATTCACTATATTATGGATAACTGATGGAACAATTCTCTATGATGTAACATAGAGAAAAGGTGGAAAGAGGGAGGGTGGGCAGAAAGAAGAGGAAGAAGAGAGAAGTAGGGAGAACAAGAACTCTCCTATTACAGGAATACAAATTCCAACATAGGGAACCATTCTTAGAAATCCCCCAAAAGACCCACCTTTACATAATACCACCTGCATCTCAGGTCCTCAGCATATGAATTTGAAAGGGTTGGCAAAAGTGCAGAGCCATTCAGTACACTATGGGAAACTTCTGGGAACCAACCATTCCTGTAGGATTTTGGACAAAGGATAACAAAATTCCACTTGGAAAGGAATGGAAGGTATCTTGAATCAGTTTCCAGTGCTGTTGAACAAGGTCTGCATACTACATTTTTTCTATTTTCTCCAATTAGGTCTGAGAAATGAGAGCAACAATTCTTGGAGATAATGTGTACAGACGCCAGAACCTTGGCACTTTTTGCTTGTCTGGTTTGTGAAACAGGATGGAATCCCGGACGACAGCCATGTTACACATTAACAGTTTATCTTGAACTGGAGAGCTAGGTCTAACTGTGTAATGAAGGCGTTTAATCAGGTTACATTGAATGTACTTTGGAAAATTTTTAAATGAGGGCAAATATTTTCAGAGGAATAACAAATGTAAACAGACATGGTTTGCATGGAAGGACCATTGGGAGGGCTCTTAGTATTTCTGCCTTGACATCAGTTCTAGGAAGATGACTTCAGTTAACTGTGAATTAAAATCCCACACTTTAAATCCCCAGCCTCCTACAAGGGGCTGGGGATTTAGCTCAGCGGCATAAGCACCTGCCTTGAAAGCAGGCAGTCATGAGTTCGATCCCTGGTACCAATAAAAAGGAAAAAAGAAAAAAAAAAAGTGCTCCTACCGGAAAAATACACAGTATTACTTCCTAGACAATTTTTAGTTATTCAGTGCCCTTAACATGAGAATATTCCATATTATCTGATAGCTTCAGGATTAAAATAATCCTTATCTGTTAATTTTATCTGGATAAAATGGTAATACAGCTACTATTTTTCACATTGGGGCCAATATTTTAGAATATTTTCCAGTCCTTTAGCACTATAGTGTATATGTAGATTGTGTAGCTCTACAAGATAGGGTTTGCTTAATTCACCTGGTACATTATGAACCTGAAGTTTCTCAAGTTCACAAGACTGGTTGGTAGTACAGCAGAGTCTAGAGTCCTGTTTTGAATTTGTCTAGAGCTCATCTTTTTCCACTCCTCCCACCTGACACAGACCTTCTCTCTTAATTTTTCTTTTTTCATTATCCTAAAATTGGACTCCACTGACAGAAAGGCACTTGTAACAAAAGTACTAACATGAGAAGAATAAAGGGGAAGTAAAGAAGAAAAGCAATAGAAAATTGATGATTTTACTTGGATTTCATTTTTCTAGGAAGGAGTCTGTTGCCGTCTTAGCTTATGAAGCTTAACGTTTTTCAAGATGTGGTCTACCATCTGTCCGTGTCTTTTAACACGGACAGAAAAAGACTTTGCCAATGTCCCCTCCTCTGGAATCTTACCTGCTGGACAGCTCTTCCCTGCATACTCAGAAAGCTACATTCTGCTATGGGAGCAGGTAACAGCAGTTAGAGTTCAAAACTTTACAACAGTTCAACATGCTATTGGTCATGCCTTTGACTAGAAATACACATCATCTTTGTGTTGTTTATTTGATACATTAGATAGCTACAAATCTTCCTCCCTTACTCCTCCTTTCTTTTTTCTCTTTTCTTCATGTTTCAATGCTCCTTTCACTATGTGGTTTAAACTAAGTATGAGTTTGTGAGTCACTTCATTCTTGAGTATCAAGTTTTTAATTAGACGTTTAGTATTTGTCAAATACATTAGGGAGATTTCCTTCTTATTGTGTGATCCAGAATAGGGTAAACTGGCATTGGGATAGATATTGATTTGGAGATGTCAGATTACCATTTTTAAAATTGGGATCAAGAAATAAAACAAATGAAAGGCAAATATTATAGTTTTTGTCTTCCTTATTATTTTAACTCTGTTGTTTTATACAACTTATTGACATATATCTATGATTTTAGTTTATTTAAGTGTAGGAATATAAATTCTTAATAAATTAAATACTATATTTACTGTGTCACTTATTCCTTTAAAATCAATCAGGTTTCTCTTCTTTGGAACACACATATTTACTATCATTATAATTATTATAATTATTTTGATACAAGTTTTTGCTATACAATCCACGCTAGCCTTGAACTAACTATATAGCCCAGGCTGGCTTCGAATTTATAGTGATCTTCCTGCCTTGACCTCTCAAAATCTGGGATTGCAGGCACACAGTACCACATCCAGAATGGTACTATGACTGAGTTCTATAGCTTTTAACTAGAGGATCAGTAACTCGTAAAGATCATGGTGAGACATAGTACATCAGAGGGACAATTTAAAAATAATAAGAGGACTGGGGTTTTAGATTAGTACATTAGAGTGAAACTTAAGTATAAATTCTCCAAGGCAATTACTTTTGGGAAACTGCAAAGTACAGCTAAGTCAAGGGGAGATAGAAATGTGGCCCCCAGGAACAAAGGCCAGGCTTTCCAATGGATATTCCAATGAACAGAATTTGGGGGTTCTTGCCTCCATCGTTTTCACTGACTCTACTCCACTGCCCTATTTTTAAGGAAAAATATTATTTTCTGTGATTTTTTTTTTTTTTTTTTTGTACCGGGGATTAAACTTAAAACCTTTTGCTTGCCAGGCAGGCACTTATGTCACTGAGCTAGAGCCCCAGCCCTATTTTCTGTGATTGTGAAGTTTTACAATATATAGTTCATAGCCCGGTGTGGTGGAGCATGGTTGTGGTCCTACTGACATAGGAAGCTGAGGCAGGAAGAGAGCGGTGAGTCCAGGAGTTCTGGGCTGCAGTGTGCTGTGTGGATAGGGTGTCCACAGAAAGTTCATCATCATCATGGTGAACCCCCAAGAGCAGGAGACCACCATTTGCCTAAGGAAGAGAGAATTGGCCCAGGTCAGAAATGGAGCGAATCAAAGCTCCCTTGCTGATCAGAATATATAATAGTATTTTCCACATGTTTCAAATAGTAAAAGCCAAAGGCCTGTAACCCCGTAGTTGGATTTTGCTACTTATATCACACTGTACATATTAAGATTTTAACAACAGTGAAAACAATTTATAGCTGAGTTTTAGATGCCCAGTCTTTTTTCTGGTCTCATTTGATGAACCCTTGAAAAGTAAAAATTATTTAAAAAACAGTATTTTCTTTCCAAATAATTTTTAAGTTGCACAGTAGCTTTTAAGTATATTTTTGCATATTGTTATAATTTTTCATATTTTCTGCCAGTGCTAATACTCCTGAATTAGTAAATTACAATAATTTGTACATATGTGATTATTTTATTTTATTTTATTTTATTCTATTCTATTATTCTATTCTATTTTATTTTACTGTTTGATTTTTGAGACAGGATCTCACTTTGTATTTTAGATTGGCTTTGAACTCACAATGGAGCCCAGGTTCATTTCAACTCCAAGTGATCATGCTGCCTCATCCTACCAAGTGCTGAGATTACAAGCATGTGGCACCACATCTGTTGCGTGATTTTAAAAATGTCACAGAGAATTAGTAATGGCACTAATAGTTTAAATTGCAGCAATAAATATGTACCCTTGGAGTTGTAAATTGACTACTTTCCTTGGGAATCTGTGATACACCCACAATATGATCAAAGACAGTTTATACAAACAGAG